TGATAATAATCAAATACTTTTTGGGCAAGGTACATAGTTGCGGCGCATGCAGAGGAAGAGCAAAGTAGAAAAAAAAAAGATGGGATCCAGAAGATGAAAGATTCTACACCTAGCGAACGAACTGCATGCCAATGCCTTAATTTATAAGCCCTAACTTCCCTTGCCATATATATATATATATGATGTGATAATGAGAGGATGAAAGCTGAACTCGTCTCCTCGATCTAAGGATAAATAAGATTACGCGACGGTGAAGGATGAGTACGACTTTCGATGAGATTAATATATAGTAGTACTCTAAATTAATAGTTATTGAATCTTAAGGAAACAAAAAAGAACTAAAACGTATGTTTATGTATATAATAAAAAATGTGACAGAAAATGGTACAGGGTGTGGGACAGAAGATCCATTGCGCTAAACTAATATATAAGTTAATTAGGAAGTTATCGATCAAAAGATACCCATTTAAATACAGTATACATTTTAGTGGCACTGATCAAGAAGAAAAGGAAATGGGAGGGATGATTGATGGGCAAATTCGGACATATAAACCCCACATGCAGATGCAGATGCAGATGCAGTGCTACAACGAGACACTGAAAGGGAGGGCTGTGGTGGGAGAGGCATATGAATGACTCAATTGACTCTCTTCAAGTTCAAACCATCCCTTTCGTCCGTGTTGATTTTCTCAACTTGAGGAGGTTCGGTTGCTAATATTTGCTAACATCGCTGATTTGAATTGATGCTAGCTCTAGCTACTGCCTCATGTTGTTACGCTAAAACTCCTCTTATCATTTAACAGACAATCCACAATACACTCTCTGAACGCCATACTAGATGATTGATTGCATCTTTAATCTCTCCTTCATATTCATGGTTTTTGCTATTTCCATTTCCACCCCATTCTTTTTTTTTTTTGTTTTTGTCTTTGCCCCCAAGAAGAAGAAGAAGAAGAAGATATTATTGAAAGCATATTGGCTTTTCGTTCAAAGACTAGGCCACCAACCAAACAACCTTTTTCCTGCCTTTCTAGGCCTACATAATATTAACTCCTCCATGCTTTCATTTGGAATTTTGCATGACACCACCACTCCTAAGTCCTATCTAGATGAGATCCACCACATCCAATTTCAAAAGAGATCCAGCGAGCATTCATGAGATGCACATACATATGCAAACATGCTCTGCTCTAGGTGGCGCAATCCTGAAAAGATTGAATTGAGTCCATTACCATACATATCAAATGATTGCCTTTTCCTCCCAACATTTTGATTATTGTGTACGCCATTACCATCATTGGTTTTGACCACTTTTCTTGCCACGAAGCAACACCGCCTTAATTACTTTGACTCCTTCCCGATACATACAGAATCTAATTCTCTCTCTGATGAGGCCTTTCTCTCATTTTTGCATTCCTGCCATCTTTTTCACTCATTCCGGTAGAAATCAAGATCACTGCCACCATCCCAACAATTACTACTCACCCCTCACCACCATACATGCATAGTTTTCTGTTGTAAGGCTGCCAATAATCTTGCACGGGTTTCTGGTCTGCTTTCTTTGTTTTTGAAGCGAACATTCCTTATTTATTTATTTTTTATAAAAATCTGCTAAAGCTAGCAGCTACCTTTGGATGACAAACTCAACTTTGTGTTCCAATCCAAAAGCACGATCGCCATAACAAATTAAGTGTCTTAAAAGAACTCTCTGTGGTTATTCCTTTCGGGGGGGAAGAAAAACAAAAAAAAAGAACTCTGGTTTTTATATCTCTATATATGTCGGTTATCCTAATATGCAAATTAAATACAAAGTATATATGTACCAACTAATTCCGTATACGGATGTTTCCTTGTTTCTATGATACCAATGACCAAACTCAAGAAAGGGAATTAACCTGCTTCATGATATTCTTCTACTCATTGCCTTTGACTGTAATAAGGTTTGCAAAGTGGTTCTTGTTCTTATAGATTTGCAAGTAATAAGTTTAACCCCTCGGCAAAGATCCATCTTGAGCTTCCTATATGTATCTCCACAACAAGCTCAATTTCTATATATAATACGTACAATGATTGGCAGACCGTCTTAATTTCCCCCATGATTACAGCATCTGCATGCCGGGGCCTCATCGAATAAAGAGTTATCTCCTCATATATCTGCCAGTTCGATACCATTTGACTTGCATATCCAAATTCCTTTCTATTTTCGAGACATCATCCTTTAATTGGAAGAAGAAATAGGAAAAGCAATAAATTTGACTCCTCATCACTGTAGGCAGAAGAATTTATGTGTTTTCTATTTATACCATCACTAACTTTGTTAGGAAACCAAATGCAAAAGCCAATGAGTAACGTTTTTCAAAGTCCAAAAGCGCGGCCATATCTGGGACAACAATGAGATCGTAAATAGTGCACGGAATAATGGATTTAAAGGGAGTGCAGCATCCAGGACTTATTATAGGACGTGAACTTTGCATTAATTGTGTATTGAAAACCTATATATATATATATTATCACGCTAGCTTTAAGTAAGCTATTTTCGTGCATGTAGAAGCTAGCTGGGCTTGGACCGTTCCAAAAGAAGGAAAAATTAAAAAAAAAAAAAACAAAGAGTAACGCAGAAGCACAAGAAAACTATAAAACACATAATTAATATATAGGACTGTTAAAATAAAACCATTTTTAGATTTGGAAGTTTACGACGGTGAAAGGGTTCATAGTTGAATTTCCCGTATACAAATTAAATGAGATACAATCTGTTACTATATTTCTTGCTTTTATGTGTCTTTTTTTTTTTTTTTTTTCCCTTTTCACTTATAAAGCGAGTCTCTTTATTAGAGTATACAAGTGGTTAAAATAATGAGGCGTTTGATTTGTATGCGGGATTTGGTTGTTGGGACAGCAATCATAGAGACCACCATATATAATAGTACGAGTCCGTCCCATTTTTTGCTACATGTTTAGTTTCGGATGCCATAGTATCAAGAGCATCACTACATGAGTTTGTCCTTGGCAAATAGAGAGAAAGGAAAATTGGAAGAGGAGATGACTGTGGAGATGAAATCTAGCTTCAATGATTCGGTTAATTAATGAGGAAAGTTACTCCCCCCGGGTGACAGTGAGGTAATTGATGTAGAGGTAGTCGTGACCTATTTGGTGTATTACACTCGTGATTGGTGACTTTGGCTAGTAAATGTTACTTATATGATGATTCTTGAGATTGGAGAAGTTGGGTTGGTCAGGTGAAACTTCGTGTCCTCAAAGAAGAACCTAAAATTCAAACAACTAATGATAGTAAACTCACTAACATGCCATGATTTATCCACCTTTAGGGAATGAAAAGTGTGAAAGAATAAAATTTGTGGGGAACAAAATCAATTTCAACAACAGGGGAAACAATCATGTAGTTTTACTAGATGAGGTGGGACAAAAGCAAATAACCAACCCAGCTAAAGGCAAAAGCAGCAGCAGCAAGCACGCATTATGCAGAAACCACCACATAGTATGTAGTAGTAGTAAAATTTACCCCCTAGCTTAATACTACAGTTTAATTAAGAGCAAAGAAACAGCTACCCACTACTATTTTGAAAGCCGCTCTAGGTTTTATTAGGTCCTGACAGTTTTAGTGATAACAACACCTCAGTATCAGGAGAATATTATTATACCCAATTAATAAAAAAGAAAGAAAGAAAAAAAAAGGGTGGTAGCCGTAGGGGATGGTGGTGGCTCAGCTGAATGATACTACGTACTCTACTATAGGCCGGGATGGTTCATTAATTAATTAGCTCTCTTGAACTAAATTACATTTCTTTTTATTCTTAATTAGTGAAGTCTTGCTTAGGAATAGTTTAATTTGAAACTAACAAATTAATAATATTGGCATGGCAATTTTCTTGGGTTTTGTGTTTTCGTTTCTCTCGTCCCCTTTAACTAATAAACTTTTTCGTTTGACGTCCATAATTAGATAAGATTTGGAAGTGTCTGCAAAGAGTACAAGGCATGAAAGTAAGTATACCTACAAATCAGTCTATTTATTATTCACACGGTGTTGCCAAAATTAGCCACAAGTTGGGAAATCGGCAAAACAGCTGCCTAAGCCTAAACATCGCATGAGATTATAAGAATTGAAAAAAAAAAATATTTTCCTGAGGAGAACAAGAAGGTTATCTAAAAAGATATACTCAGTTTCAATTTCTGTCCGCGCACCTAAATGCTATAACTATACACAGCACTGACGAGATTTACATCGAATTGTTCCAGGATATGGCCCAAAATTTAAATTTGGATAAAAACAGTTGGCAGGGGACTTTTTTTTATTTTATTACGTATGTCACGACGCTTGGAAAATATTATTGCTCCTCCAACTCCAAGAGAGACTTTATTTATAGTCTGCCTGTGCCAGTTCATGTGAGAGCGACAGAGCTGATTTCAATACTTGAGAGCAAATGTAAAAAGGAATAGCTGTTCACTTGGTGCGCAATTGTCAAAGGAACAAGCCGAGAGTGCGGCCCATTCCATTTCTTGTGGTCCTAAATAGTTATAGAGGAAACAATATTATTAATGGCAATCTAATTACTGCATATGAATCTATTTGTGTACTGGAACACTGAGAAGAGCAGAGTAGTTTTGGTGTGATGACTTAAAGTGAAGAAGCGCCATGCATAGTTAACAAGCTTGACTAATTCATCAGTGGGTGGATCAGCGTTAATTAATTTGACAGAGATTATTCATTCCTTAATCGAGTCAACGGGCGGGCGGTAGAAAAAAAAAAATCTTAAGTTGCGGGAGAACAGTGCATGCGAGTTTGGGAGAAAACAAAAGGAACAAAAGGATTTGTTCTGTTCTTTGAACAAAAGAAATTTAAGCAGCAGTTGTGGACTAGTTAGTAGTAGTGGAATCCATATATCTGCCGTAATTGGCGGTCCGATAATAGGAAACACGTCGCGTCTGAATTTCTCTCTCCCCCCCCGCCTCTCTCACTGTTAATAAACAAACATATACAATGGATCGATGAATAGTCCGTCCAATATATGGATGGTGACTGGCAGTTGTTATAACATCAAGTCATTAGCATGGCAAAGTACTGTACAACCATGATAGCCAGGATAAGGATTGGACGTATCCTCCCTCTCCAATACATTTTTACACTACCACGCGGACACGGGCTTTGGAACTGGGATTCTAGGAAAGCTGAGATGATGGTGGTTGATGGAGGGAGGAGCTCCTAGCTAAATGAGCTAGCGTGCGTACGTAGTGCCTAATTAATAATGAGCATGGAAAAAAAATTGAATGATCAAAATGGATGGGGGAAGCCCGGACGGGAAGGGTTAACAACAAAAAATGAGGCAGCGAACTAGAGACTAGTCGGCGGAATGCTTTCAAATTTCGGTAGCAGCGGCACCTGAGGAGGTGAGAGTTAATTTGTGAGATCTAGCAGAGCTCCAAGGAGGACTCGTAGTCCAGCAGTTCTTGAATCATTTGTTCTATGTGATCGTCTTCTTCAAGTTGCTTAACGAACTGGTGGTCCGCCGACGCCCCCTGCTGCGCCACTCCGGACCCCGAAGACAAGACACCCTTTTCACGATCATTATTTCCACCACCAATATTAAAGTTGTGGCAGTTAGGTGAACCGGAAGCAACCGCCGCACTGGAAGTGAAATGAATTTTGTGGTGATCAGTCGTCTGTTGGCGCAGGTGGAGCTGCTGGTGTTGTTTGGTGATTTGGAGGGAAGCCATGTAACACTTGTGCAATTTAGCGGTCAAAGTAGCAGAGAGGAGCTTTGAGGACGAGGTCTGAGGAGCATTGGGGTTGTAAGGGAAATTGGATCTGGCTCTGGGTCCGCACATTAGACGCGCTGCTTCATCGTACGCTCTTGCCGCATCTTCCGCTGTCTCAAATGTTCCTAACCATATCCTGGTCTTCCTGCACCACACCACAAACATCATATGTACATACATACGCACGCACGCATGCATTATTTCATGAATGAATACAACTTTATATGTCGTTTTTTTTTTTAACTGCAAAAAGAAAAAACATATACTAACTCACAATATAGGATGGCGAATTTCGGAGACCCAAGATCCCCAATGCCTCTGCCTAACGCCCCGGTATCGTTGTTGAGGTCGAGCCATTGATATTTGATAGTAGTAGTAGTAGTAGTAGTAGTTTAAATAAAGGTGCAAGTTAAAAAGAAGTCTTTCTTTCGGTTTCCTTCCTGCAGCTAGCTCTCTCTCTCTGTCAGCTATAGTAGTGTTGCAGTGATCAATAATAATATTATGTGATCCGATCGATCCTCAATGGGGAAAGAGTTTAGTAGGAATCCTCAATGAGGAGGGAATGGATATGAATGGAGTGGAGACTAGTGGAGAATGAGGGAGGAAGAGAGGGTGGTGGCAGTGGTTTTTGTAGTTGGGTTCGTTAGGAGACATGCAGTGGAAAAAGTGCTCCATCCCTCTCTTTCCCCGGCCTTCTGTTCTGGCAACCAATTTAGGCAACTGGGTCCGCCCTCCCTCATCCTCATGGTGGGGGCCTCTTGCTCCGGGCCTTGCTTTGTTTATTGTTTATTACTATTTATTATTTATTATTAGAGCGCGCGGGATTCATCTTGCTACTGCTACTGCTACTGGTAGTCGTTACCAGTTGGCCCGCTGGCTTATTTGAAGTGACAATCAATATACTAATTTTACTTAATAATAATACTTGTTAGTAAACCCGGGGGAGGGGGGGGGATTTTAGAAAGAAAGGGACCAAATTCAATTCACAAGACTTAAAAAAAATAATACTCTACCTTTTGTTGTACAAAACATCTATCATTCCAGTTTCCTGATTGCCTTCCCCTGTGCTGAAGTTGAACAAATTATCATCAGGTCATTGTCTCGTAGATTCTGCATGTGAACATTTCCGGATGGATCACGAATACTCCCAACACACCTTTTCATCACTGCCTCTGCTAATATTATTGGTCAAGACCGACGACAACGGTTGCTTTGCTCCCAGAAATATATTATTGAGTTTTATCGACTTGTTTTTTTGGTCACATATGCCCCACATATCAATATCAATAAAAGGTTCTTCTATTGATTTGGTACTCTTTTTATTAGGATACAAATTAACCAAGTGAAGCTTATGAACAGGAGCTAGCATTGAGAAACTGGGAAAATTACCATACAAGAGTTTTTTTTTTTTTTTTGGGCAAAATAAGGGATTTTTATTAATCATATATAGAATTTTTTAGATTTTACACAAAGGTACATACAAAGAATCCTAAGCTGTTACCCGGGACAGATGCCAATCTAAACCCCATCCAAGAATCATACAATAGTTGTTGAATGAATCTATTACATCTAGCTCAGAATGAGAATGTAGAGCACAGTACTTTCAATCTTTGCTTTCCTCCCAAGACAGACACCCCATGAAGATTGAAGACTCAATATGCTGCCGATCGATAAAGCGTAAAGTTTAGTTTCTTTAATCTTCTTGACGGGGGAGCCAGCACACAAGAAGAAGAAGAAGCAGCTGAAAATGAAAACCGGGAAGGGATCAGCAGCATATTTAGAGAGAGAAGTCACAGGTCTTTATCCGATATTAATAATTCATATCACATTTCAGGTTACCCGCAACATGCAGGACGGGGAATTAGATGCCGACCAAGGAAGATGATTGGATACGGGACAGAATTCAATAGTAGAAGTAGAATTAGAATACAAAGCAAATCCTGAGAAGAATGGTGACCTGGTCAACATGTAACCAGTATATGTAATGTATGCATCTAGCGTGTGTACTGTAGAGGCATGAATCCTCATGATTGATTCGGTACTCCCAGGGTAGGGTTGGGGCACAACGAATAAAGAGGCTTGGACCATTATAATTCCAGTAATCGATCATCCCAATCCATCATTTAGTACGAATCCCCTTCCAGAAAAGAGAAAAAAAGAAAAGCCTATTGTGTTGCAATTTAACATGCTGGATCGGGCAACCATATATTGCTGATCTTAGATAAAAAGAAACATGTATGAGCTTTTTCGTTGCTCTTAATTAATCTCTCTGTTTTCTTATTGAACCGAGCTTAATTTCATTAAGAAATCGGACTGGTTAAGCAATAGTATATCAGACCAAGTCCTTCGCACGCAATAGATTAATTATGATGGCACGTACCCTTAATTCAATCACCTATATGTTAATGGTTAATTGATCATAAACAATGCTAGCTAGCTGGTCATCCTAATAACTAGTCAGTCGAGGTGTGTGTGTAAATCAGGTGTTTTTTTTTCTTTCTAGTTTTCATGCATGGAATGGTAGTGAGATTAAAGCTGACGAGAGGAGCTTCATGCATCAACTCAGAATACAAGTGTTATAGAAGATATCCTAACCGTGAGGTTTTCTGGTTTGTCAAGCTGTTTTTCTTTTGGAACTAGAAAAAGTAAACCACATAGCTGATACTATAGGTTATTTTGCTAGAGATCTTATGTCTGATTAGTGTGGAAAGATTCCTATCTCCAGTGGATTACTAGGAAAAGCACATAGAAAGTTGATTAGGGAATTACCGGCCAATAGTGTAAAGTCTAAGTACTTTTGTGAATATTGGGACCAAAAAAAGACCTCACCTATGAGAAGCAAATATGACATTGTATGTGTGTCTCTGCATCAATATATGTTGTACAGTAGAAGTTTTTAAAAGATTTTCTTTTGAAGAAAATGAAATACTAAATGAATAGATAGTTTTTAATTCAAGACAAGTTGACGTACCTGCAGATTAAGTGGTTGAAAAAGAAAAACATTAATTATGTGGATAAATAGTTGTTCAACAATCCTAAACTGATTCAATGTTACTCCAAAATAACAAAGGAAATAAAAATCTAATTGTAATCCAAAGATAGAATGTTGCCTTAATTAGGTTCAATTAAATTGATGTCCAATTAAGATGATTGTGTTAGTAAGGCTTCCTAGGACACTTTTTTTTTCTTTGCTAAAAAATAAAAAAATGTTTTGGTTCTCAAAATTAACCTATTAATTAAGTTTATCAATTTATATTAACTGAATAAATACAAGTTTGTGTTAAGCTTTAGTATGACGTGAAATGCACGTCCTTCCTTCTTATATATATATATATATATATATATATATATATATATATATATATATATATATATATATATATATATATATATGTATATGTATATGTGTATACGTATACATGCACAGCAAGATACATATATATACACAGTGGAAGGGCTTGCAGTTAGTTAATTTTAGATCCGAGATACGGATAGGCCATATGCACCCTATACATAATATTCATACGGCCTGTCTTTATTGTTAACATTATTAAGCCATTATTAATGAACTGATCAAAGCCACAGTGAACACGAGGCATGAGAGCAGAGAACATCTGTTCTGTTCTTGTGCTGATGATCATCATCTCATCTGCAGTACGTACTACTTTGTGTATAATGTGCCATGTACAACATACTGCTTGCTTTGTGGCAATGGAATTGGATGTATAGGTTCTGATTGTTGAGCAACAATATACATGTTCCCCGGCCCTTCTCTTTTCGTCCTATATGCAATGTTTTCAGAACCGGACCGGACCGGCCGGTTCGACCGGTTGGACCGCGAACCGGCCATGTCACCGGTCCGGTCTAATGTTAAAGCCGGAAGTTCATGGAGAACCGTTGAAACCCGGACGAACCGGACGAACCGTGCGAACCGTTAAGAACCGTGAACCGGCGGTTTTTTAAATTCTTCAACAAAATATCAAGAATTGTGTAGCTAAGATTCGAACCTGGGTCTCCAAGTTTAAATATGACAATCTTACCGCTAGACTGTACTTAAGTTTGTTGAAAATTCTACTTGACTAAAAAATATATTAAAACATCAAGTTCTTCTCTTATTTTTTTTTTCAATTTTTTCTTCTTAACCATTTTTAACCCAAATATCCACAACAAGATTTTCTCAAGTTTTCACCATTATTATCAGGTTATTATCTTTAGCAGATTGTAAACAAGTTGAAAATTTCAACTTTTCTTGTTTTCCAACATTTTAGTAAGTTTAATTTTTTTCTTTTCAAGGTTTTTTTCTATATTATTGTCTTTAGTTGATTTTTTGCATTTTCTTCTTTTTCCCCTCAATTTTCATATGTTTCCCTCATTTTTGTTTTATTTTTATTCGATTAATTAAGGATGAAATTTTTGCAAAAGTAGTGCACATCCGTGTAGGAATTGGGTAGGAATTACAAATAATAACATTGGGTTGGTAAAAAATATGGTAGTTGGCACATAATTGAAGCTATTGATAATTGAATTTAAAATAATTAATGGTATAGGATCATTGAATTTAATATAACATGTTAATTAGTAATGTTTAGTAGCAATTAATTTTTTATGTGTTTAACTGTATATTTGTTTTTCAAAAATTTTTAGTTTTTTTTAGTTTGAGCAATTAGATTTATATTTTTATAATAAAATTTTAACTTTTTCAGCTTAAGTTGATGAAATTGTGAAGGTGGTGTGGTTGCTTATCATGCCACTGATAAAAGTTTGCTATTCAAATAGTTTGTCTTAACTTGAACTCTTTTATGAATTTTTTTAAGGGTTGTAAAAGAATTTCAATATTTAATTTATTTATTTTTTGTGTTTTTATTTGTGATAATTGGTGCACATTTGGATTGTATCTATTTATGTTTATAATGAATTTATGAAAACTTGTGGTGAATTATGATATTTTAATTATATTTATCATTCCATGTTTTGTGTATAACTTTTAGAAAATTTATTATTATCATAACTTAAATTAAGTTATGTTGGTAAAGTTCAAGTGTAGAATGAAACCTGCTTAGTACTTAACCTTAAAAAAAAAAAAAAAAAAAAAAAAAAAAAAAAAAAACAGTGAACCTTTGAACCGGCCGGTTGGACCGGTCGGACCGGTCGAACCGCGAACCGGCCACCTCTCCGGTTCACTGACCGGTCCGAGTTTAAAAACATTGCCTATATGTATATCCGTGGTTCTAAGCATGTTTATGCTTATTTTATACTCTTCTTATTCAAAGCCGCTCACGACTCATTTGGTTAGAAAGTCAAGGAGAGGAAAGTTAATCACACACGCATGGACAGATTAAGGAAAAAGAAAGAATGGAATTAATAATGGATATGAGGAATTTCAGAAAATGACACCATAATCTCTTGTCTTGTCTCTTGCTTCACAGCTAATATGCACGTAGACCATTAGAATTATGACGAAGCAGTCAACTAAAAAGTGGAGTACATAACAATTATATATATATATATATACTAGCAACAAATGTAAAGGTTTTTTTTTGGCTACCTTAAAAAAATTTAACACCGACAGTAATTGTCAAATAAATTAATGATTATCCTAACAATATAATTCAAAAACGAATAACATTATTTTTCTTTATTGTTTATTATTTCTTTGCTCAAGAATAAACAATTAATTGATAC